AAGACATGACATTAAGGAAACAAATCAAGGTTGTCACGGCAAAAAAAAAAAAAACAACTGATTGATTCAGCATTCAGGAACCTTGATAAACTTACAATGAGATCCAACATTACTCTGAAGGATCCTACACACTCTCCAAATCTCATCTTAAGCCAAATATGTGGATAAATCACTGAAGGAAAACCACATCAGTCTTCATGTGCACATCATTACACCCGACATGATGGTTCCTTAGGTTTAAATATGTGATGGCAAAAAGTGTTTCCTTACATCATTTGCTATGACTTCCATGTTTTTAGAGTCTGTTGAGGATAATGAGGCTAAATGTGGATATTCTTCACAAATGATTCAAACCTGGGAACTAAGAGATGTGCTGGTTTTGAAGCTCCACATGCAGAAAATGTGTTGAGACAGTCTGTCAGTTCAATGTATCAAGGTGGTAAAGCATTAACAATACATACAAATTTTGAGTATTTTTCAGGATATGAGTCATAGCTGCTGGCTGAAATGAAACAAAAACATCTCAAGCCGAGAGATCTTAAATAATAAACATTTGCTTTAGCAAACCAAAAGCTGCAATTTAATCTTTTTCTTGCAGATCTGCAACAAGCAATAAGTCAAATGGAGAATTTCCTAAAACAAATAGCATTATCTGAGACCTTGCCCAAGCCGTCTCACCTTGTTTCGCTTCTAACTATGTTTGTATCAGTTTAGTTGATCAAAGCGTGATCAGCTAGCTGGCTGGTAGAATGATGAAGTGCACTGATGAAAATTGGGGGATGATTAAATGTCCATTCACTACAATCTGCCCCACTGTGTTGAAATGTCCTGGGCTGCCGAGAGAGAAAACACAGACAATTACTCTGCCTCCTGTGCAAAAAGCTCTCTATAATTAAAGCACACTTACACTGCCTTCTTTAAAAGCCAAAATTTGATTTTGCTTTTCCAGTCCCTAAAAGACTAGAGGGAATTGTCATTCTGCACATGTAGCGTTTAAGTGACTACAAAGGTATTAATTGCTGATCCATATACTAGGACTTGTTACTGCAATAAAAATAAAAAAGAAATAAACAAAGGAAGAAACATCAACCTTGTTTTTGTATTACTTACTTGTGCTGAAATGTTTTTGAAACTCATTTACACATCAGTAAGTTCATTGTTGACTCATTCTAAAACCCAATATTGGAATGTTTAACAATGTGTGGCGGCATTAGTTTATAAAAAAAAATTATATTATTCCATAGTGTCTCACAATACATAATGTTGATCGGTTTGACAAATAAATGCGGTCAAAAGACATGCAAAAAACTGTAAGAAATGAATGTTACGTTATTCATGTGCAACAGGAACATTATTGGAAAAAGAATCTTGACAAAGCTTTTAATAATCTATGCATCAAATGGTTAAAAAAATGTTCTAGTTTTTATTATTATTCACATGCGACATACAAAACATTGGCCACCAGAGCCCGGTCCATCTTCATGTTTCCCATGTTTCTGTCAAGCCACATAAGCTTCATGAAAACGGGGAAAAGAAAAAGGTAGTCAATGTATCACACCTGCAGTCATCCTCTCATCTAAGTGGCATGAGCTAAAAATGTACCAGAACTGAACATCAAGCATTCACTGGAGCATAAAGCCATACCCAATGAACCAGGAAATGGTGGCAGAGGTTGCTTCCATTCTATAATATTTCCTGAACAGCCTCCACCGACAGGAGCTACGAAATGATCATGGAAATGCTGATCTTTTCTGACTGTTTAATAAATAGAAAAAATACAGTCGAAAAGGCACTGCAATAACCAATCAGAGGGACAATAACAAAAAAAGAGGCTTTTAAGATTGAAGCTCAAAACAAAACATCTAACAGTTCCATTTTCTGTTTCAAAATAAAAACTTTTCCCGCTAAATAAGACGTTTAAATAAATTCTAAAAATAATTAACTTACTAGACTGATTTTCCTAAGTTAGTTCAATTTTGTAATCTGTGTAAACTTCTAATTAATTGAGTTCTTCTGAAAGCTTTGTTGCTGTTCTTCAGCATGAACATTTTACAGCCAGCAGGATGACAGGTGGAGGAGAGAAGCCAGCAAACAATATACCTGGAAGGTGACGTATTCCTTGGAGTGTGAAAACACTCACCCACTGTTGTAAGTTCTACCATTTGTGGAGGGTCATTTGGTGCAATAAAAAAAAGGGTTTCACGGTTTATGGTCCAGTGGGCTGGCAGGTGTAGTAACAGCTGGTTGGTTTCTGAGTTCAGAAACCAATTTTCACTTGACCCCCAAAAGAAAAATAATTTTCTGAGTGCCAACTCTACACGAATGCCACCTTATTCAGTGGAATACGGTGGCAGTCTAATGATGAATTAAGTAAAAAAAAAAAAACAGATGCAGCATAAAATGTATGTACAAGAAGCTTCTTTTATAGCAAAAGTGGTGTAAAAAATCCACAATATCCAGTAGAAAGGAGAAAGCATGTTAGCAGCTGCTTCTGCATCTGTCATGTTCAAGATGTTTGAAGGGTGATGTTTTATACCTTGGAGGTTTCTTTGATATCCAGGAAGTAACAGTAATGACATCTCTAACCAGTCAAGTGTCAAAAAATGGTCTGTTATTTGGCCCAAAGTAGAAGGAGCAGAAGCATTCGTCTCACACAGGTTAGGTTGACTCCAAAACTCTCTCTGTTACGTCAGCAAGAGACAAAAAGATGTTCAGGTAAATGTTGCAGAGCCTGAGTGTTAGTCTACGATTTTGTGAGATGAAATCAAGAAAATGGTGTTAAAAGGAGTTCTGTGAGTGTTGGAGAGCAGACAGGTTGGAGTCTTAGTGGATTATATTCTTCATGCGGAGTGCTTGATGTAGGTTGAAAGAGTCAGTGAGTTGAATTCATGAATTCCATTTATTAATACCAAAATACAGCTGGTCCATTTCACATGCTGCATTTGGAAGCAAGCAGGACAAAATGGCATCAAACAAACTTTTCCATTCCTTTTGTTATCCTCTATCTAAGCCACGCCCGAAAGAGGGTGTTCTCTCATGTGTCATATCCTTTACCCCTCGTTCTGAAAAAGTGTAGGCAAAACACAAAGGGCTCGAGGTTATTACTAAAGCTCCGGTCTCCAGAAGAAGAAACCTACAGCTCAAAGAGTTCGACATAATGCAGAGACTCAGCAGAACCTACAAATCCAGACTGGATCATTTTAATTTAAAAGACACTACACCAACAAATTAAGTTGTTTTAGCTGCTAATTGGCAACATGTTGAGGTTACACTGTGCTGTAATCACCATCATTTGCCCGCTTAAACCACGGTTCTCCAACTCCAGTCTTCGACATCAGAACAAAACGTCTGAATTAGCTTCAGACCATGTCATCAAATTCTGCTGAAACCCAGCAATGAGCAATTTATTTGACTGAGGTGTGTCGGAGCAGTGACGCATCTAAACATAATGCCTGATAAAAGCTCTTGAGGATTGGAGTTGGAGATCCCTGGCTTAAAGAGTATTATGCCACTCATTATATGAAATAACAAATTAGTAGGTAATAAGTTATCAGAGAATACCTTAAGGTAATTTTTTATACAATAAACTGCACAAGCATTTATCAGATTGGCGAGAACTGTTTTTTTTTTTTTTGTGGATGACTTTCCTCAGATGTTCTAGTGGTCCACTTTCCCATCTAGCAGGGAAAGAGGCTGCTGAATATGTCAAAGAGGACCCGATAAATAATGGATGCCATGAAGCTTCGGTGGAGGTTGTCGGCTTTGAAATGCACTCCCAGGTTGAGTCATATTCTCAGTTCGCTCTCTCCATTTTACATTTAACTGGCTCTCTGCGGAATAGCCAACAAGCCCAGCGCACACCCTCACACACACGCATACACACATTTATAGCTCGTTTTTTTTTGACAGAGGCTGTCCGAAGCAGTTAGTGCTGTGGAGATGCTGAATTCTTGAGTTATTACACAGGTGTTGTCTTTGTCTCGAAGGCTATCTGCTGCATGTATCAGCTTCAATTTCACTCTGAGTACTTCAGGCTTGAGAGGCCAGTTGATTGTGACAGGAAAAAAAAAAAAAGAGACAGCAGGACAAAAGAAGAACGCAGGCAGCTGTGTGAGCCTTCTCTAAACCAGGCGCTGAAGGAAAATTGTACGCTTTCTCGACTGGTTCAAAAGACAGACTGCAGTGGATTTATTTCTAAACTTTAGGGATTATCTTTATGCTCAAAGCAGAGGTTTTGCCTTGTGCACAAACTCAGATTAACTCACGATGGAGAAAACCACAGCATCGATGACACTTTCAACCAAAAAATACTTTGTGTTCTTTTTTTGTTGTTGTTTTTTTTAGACAGGAAATCTAAAAGCAATGCTGTGGATGCCACAAGCCAGAATTGTGCAAAGACGCATTACAATTAGAATCATTAAAGGTTTATTTACATCTAAGCATAATTAACATACTATAGTGGAACATGAATGTGTGTGCTCTACTTTGCTATAACCTACTGTAATAAGTAGAAAAATAATGACCACCTTGCTTGAAAAACCTTTTAAGACCAAAATCATGTGAAAGCTGTATGGATTTATTAGAATATAAACAAATTATTGAAAAACAAAACGAAAACAAATAGTGCACTGAGCTTAGCCCTTATTTTCAGTACAATTTTGGTTGTTTTTCCTTTAAAAGTCGCATGCCAAATGCCATTTTTTGCAAGAGGGCAAAGGGGAATAAATAGAAAAGGCAAACATGGTAATGTAAAAGATTAATGGAGTGTGAATGTTAGATAATCAGTCAAGACCAAAGGAAGTCTAAAGAAGCCAGAAAAGTGCATTTTAAGATTGTCACTTGTGAAATATCAAAATCAAGTTTTATCATTAAATGGAGATAATAGAAAACCCGGCATTAAGGTTAACTTTGCTGGAGTCGCGCTCCGACTCGTCACGCACGTCTTCCTGAGATTCATCCGCTTAATTGAATCGAGCCGCAGCACTCCTTTCTCCCTCCGCCTGTCTGACCGCAGCGTCTCCTCGCGCTCAGGCAGGAGCGGCAGCCTGTGTTTTGCTCCTGGTCCCGCTGTGGGTGTGTGTAGGTGTGTGTGTGGGTGTGTGTGTGCGTGAGAGAGAAAGAGAGTCAGCAGCCATCCATGCTCTCTTCCTGATGTCACAGTTTAACTCCGCTGCTTGAAACACCTCTTGCGGCTATGGGAGCCTTTGGACTGATCACGAGGATCTTACAGTACGCGGGACTTTACGTTCAACTTAACGCGGGTCTGCGTGACGGATATGGAAAGGTGGATAATCGCGTCTCAGGAAACGGTACGTTCATCCGTGACCGAGATCCTTAATTCAACAAGGATCTTGTTCAATTAAGATCCTCGTTAAATTCTGTCCTCGCGTGTTTGATTGAATATTACATTGATTAGATGAAGATTTGTCTCTTTTTCCCCATTTCATTGTTTTTGGATTTTTTAAAAACTCGAAGAGATTGCACAGCTAATAATTAAGGTAAAATCTTAATTACATTAGTTTTAGATTACATTAAGTTCCATTGAAGTTAAGAAGTAAACAATATGTATGACTATATATTTATTTATTAATTAAGCTCCAGTTTTGCATATTCAATATTATCAGTTAAATATGTGAAAGATTTCAACCAGCAACAGATGCTGATGTTTGGCTCTGCTGGATGGAGGACTGCAAGGTTCTCTACCAACAGATCCTGCAAATGTCTAACAGATCACTGACTTAAATTTCAGTATCCATGCAAACAGGTTTCTTTAGACATGGCAGGACCTTAAACACCTGGTTTAGAATAAGGTTTGTGTTAACCAGGCAGTGTAAAGAGAGCGCCTGGCACTGCAACACATTAACCTTTAATGAATCTTTCCTGCTTTCTTCTGGCTGCAGCTTTTTTTTTTTTTTACTAACAGTTCATAACACCCACAGTTGTGAGGTAAATGTATTACTTTAAGAGTTTGCTTACAGAAATGTTGGAAGGTTTTCTGATATTCACATCTTATCAATCATAAAATGTATGCACTGATTAATTTTTGCTGTAATTCGGTTGTTGTTGGACAACTTGTGGGGAGGAACATTGGAATAAGATATGCATTGGGAAATGTTGTGGGGGGCAAATTTGAAATGGGACCATTTTTCATAGGATACCCCCTTTTTCACTAGCTAGCACAGTTTCCACAGGTTTGCTTTTATACTCTTTGATGTTTCTTGGGCCAAACACGACAAGATTCACTCAAACAAATCTTAAGGACCGGTTTTTGTGACCTTCTCCATCCAGCAGATTTTTTGAGAGTTAATACAAAATCTTACAGTCCTTTTTAATAAGAAAAATAAAGCTTTTCTACTACTAGGTGAAAGGCAAAACACACTTTTGTGTTATCTTACTAAACTAAACTCAATAAAAAATATTGAGGAATGTTTTTACAAAATACTAATCACCAGAGGTTAACACCTGATCCTACATCTCATTATCATTGCCCCACATACAATTGGAGAATAAAGAACTTGTGGATCAGCCTCCTGCCCTTCGAAGACTTTTAATAATCTCTAGTAGTAAATAATCAAAAAATGTGTGGAAACATCTGAAAGCTGGTCAGCAAATTTCTGTAGGTTTTTATTGCAATGACACCAATAAGGTTTTTACCACTGATTATTTAGGAGGACACAAAGTATTCTCAATATCTTGCTCTTTGTGGTTAATTAGAGACAATCCATTGATTTCAAAATTAGCTTTTTCTTCACATTATTTCACTATATTTCAAGAGATGCTTCTTGGTTGAATGGAAATAATTTCATATAAATCTTTCCACAGTATGAATAATTTAAGGTCTAGTAGTCCCACAATCTTTCACACTTAGCAGCACACAAGCAACTTCAGTAGAAGAAAACTCAGAGTTTTGTTTTTTCTTATATTTTGGTAATCCTCTAGAGATTTCTTTCTTCCTTTTTTTCCTTTTTTTTTTTAAACCAGGCTCTTTGATAAATTGCCTGAGCAGAGGGGAGCTGAGCCTTCATGCAGAGCAGAGAGGCTGCATGCACCGTTCTGAAGACTGCTTGTTAGAGTCAACCCTGGCTCATACGTTTTATATATATGCACGTCTGGCCCCTGCACCCCACTTACTGCTTGAGCTGAGGTGTCTGGTGAATCACATGCAGCAAAAAAATAAAAGATCTATGCGAAGAGCGAATGCAGAGTTACAGCATCCACTCAACACATTGCGATTCTTACCTGTTAGACTTAAATTGAGGTCAGATCTCGGCTGTGAAATTGGGTCTGTGAGTGGATTTCGGTTCTTGGAAGGCACATAGTGAGGACATAGAATGATGATTGTTGTGAAACCTGCTATTTTTGAACATTTCATTGCAAATTTCCTCTGCAGTTTCCTTCTTTCATCCATTGTAAGTATGGCACCTTCAGAAGGTGGAGTGTGTTACAATTCATTAGATTTCCAAAGTGTCTGGGATCCTCTGCTAGGTGTCCCCCTAATGAGCAGCCTTGACACTTTTTATTGGCTTTCAATTTAATGGTGCTCTGACAGTGCTGGTTGCAGTGGGGGTGGACAGATTATAGAGTCATGCTGTCACAGCACAAGGCTGGCAGAGGACTGCTTAGAAAGAAAAAGACAATAACGGACTCTCGAAACAATGTAAAATATGCATCGAGACCAGAGTGAATTTTATTTGAAGGGATGTTTTTTCATTTCTGAATGGAAAAGCTGCAGATGTCTTGGGGGGCGAGGGGGAAAGTTTAGAAAACAGAAATGACACTCGTCCCCAAGGAGGGTAAACCAGAAAGGATCATTGCTAAGGAAGCTGGTGGTTTACAAAGTGCTGCATCCAAGCATATCCATAGAAAGTTGAGACGAAGAAAAAAAAAAAAAAAAACGTGTGGTAGAAAAAAGCGCAACAGAAACAACTGCAAACTGGAGAAGATTGTCAAGTAAAGTCCATTCAAGAATTTGGGGGTGCTTCACAATGAGTGGACGGAGGCTTGAGTCATAACAAGAGCCACTACCCACAGATAAATGCTGTACAAAAGCTACAAGCATCTCACCAGAATTAAGGAGAAAAAGAGCTGGACTGCAGCTCGATGCTGAAAGGCATGCATTTATTTGGGAGGTGAAAAACAAGTGGAGTCTGTAGGATGGGTGGAGAGGCACAGACTTTACTTGAAGTTCAGTGTGAGGTTTCCACAGTTAGTGATGATTTGGGGTGACATGTCATCTGGTAGTGTCGGCCAATCGACCCATCTACCAGGAAATTTTAGAAATCTTCATGGTTCCTTCTGCTGACAAGCCTAAATGAGATGTTGATTTAATTTCCAAAGAGAATTTGACCCACTCTGCCAAAGGTACCAAAAACTGGTTTAATGAGAAACACCAGACCCAATAATACAGAAGAACTGAAGACTGCCAACACATCAACCTGGGCTTCCTTTACACCTCAGCAGAACCACAGGTTGATTACCTCCATTCCTCGCTGCATTGATGCAGTAATTCATGACATTTCCATTTTTAATATCCATTTTACTGATGTTTAAATGTCCCGACACACTGAATATTGAGTTTTTTAATCCATCTGTTAACCATAATCAAAAGTTCTATCAATAAATGCTTTTCACTCAATGTTCACATATTGAGTTTAACTTTATATGAAATGAGTGACAATTCTTTTTTCTTGAGATTCTGTATTTGTGGATGTACACAAATTAACATTATCCTCTCACTACCTGTGACGTAGTACAACATACTTAGGAAAAACCTGTGTGAAACGGCAAGTGTTACAACTTGCCTCTTCTTGGTGGGGGGATGCAGAAATAGCTTGTGAGTGCTGTGTCTCAGGGGCAATGAAAAATTCACTCCACAAGCCAGAAGTATGGGTGGCAACAAGCAGACATCTGCTCGGTTGATTACTGGTGCCATTCGTATTTCATTATTTTTACCTTCCACCTTGAATTCAGGCTGAAGGTCTCTCAGCGTACTGTTATTTCCCCAAGGAGAATCTGCCGTTATACCCCATTTATGCTTCCGAACCAAATATAGACTTATTTGCAGTATCCCTCATTGCTTACTTGTTTTGTTTCAAAACAATACAATATATATATATATATCCTACCATTTGCGTAAAGAATCTCAGAGGACTTACGTCAACATTGCAATATTATCCAATATTTCACTCTGTCAGTGTGATTCGATGTGCCAATTAGAGCCATACCTTATTAGCTGCACTCAAAAGGAACAGCCCTTGAGTATTGAGGGATTGTTTCCCAGATCTTAACATTTCCCACACTAAATTAACATACTAACATACTTAGTATTTTATTGTATGCAGGATTACAGCTTTTGATGTGAGATTAAAGCTTCCGAAGATCAAGATAAAAATCCCCTGTAGATTTCCTTTTTAACAGCGGCTTACTGTTGTTTCCACTCAAAACTCCCTCTGGGCGTCAGTGAATATTAAATCCATTCATCACATTAGTGAATTACATTTTCGCAGAGGGACTCCATCCACAGGCTGTTAACATTCTGTGTGGTGGATTTATAGGCCTTAAGATTTCTTCTCATTGGTTTTGAGGCACTAAAAGAAGTTGATGTAAAGGAGTTGGAGCAAAGCTGCAATGAAGAAGCATCTTCTCATGAAAAACGTTGCGATTGAAACATGTGGAGATGTTCCAGCTCCCCTCGGCCAGACAGTGACTGAATGAATGCATCTGTTTTAGAAGAAAACCGTCAGGAAAACAGTTTTGGCTGAGATTTGACTCTTAAAAAGACTTTTTAAGTGCTATGGTCAAAAACTCCAGCGTTAGATACAACATATTTAACACTAAATAAATTACCACTGTTCTAGGTCAGTTAGTGCCTATTGTATTTCAAGTTTAAATCTTTAATTTCTATTTCCATCAATCTAAACCTGCCTTGGGATGCAGTTCAGCTCAATGTATTTAACATAAAACAGCAGTCGACGTGCCCTTACTAAGCTTCTTCTGCTGCAGTCTCAATCAGACAAAGCCCAGCTTGTAGCTTAAGTGTGTTTTTCGCAATGGGAATCTGGATAACTTCTGCCAGAGACTTAGAAACAAACGAAAGAATCAAGTCGTATGTGGCTGAATCTGCATTTAAACCGTCGCTGATTGCTTCATAGGTGTATATAAACTTATAGCTTATACTTTTTATGGACACTGTCTCTAACACTTCATCTCCATCTACTCCAGTCTTGTCCCGTTAAGTTTTGACTAAAACAACCTGAAGCTCTTTTGGGTTGGTGCCCTCTCTCTCTTGTTCACAAACGCACAGATCCCCGTGTCTTGCTTGCTTCTCATCCATCCTAACATGTGTCGCCTTTCTCCCATTGCTTTCCTTATTTTATCCCCTCTTCATTTTTAATGAGTCAATAGCAGAGAGTAAGCAGCTATCACTTCTATCACTGCTCACTGAGCAATAAAGTGAAAAATGCTAAGGAGGGCCTTTTTAAATATGCATGTGCCCTACGTACAGCTTCAAACACGAGTCCCTTGCGTCTGCTTGAGGATGGTTCTGACAGGACTGCCTTTATGAAAATCTATACTTAGACGAGGCCAAGCAAACTCATTCTTCGCCAGCTCTCAAGCATTATAAATGAGACAGCCTGGTGTGCTGAAATTTTCCTGGAAGTCAATACTGAGAGCTACATGTTTTTCATCTTTTTACGGACAGGGCCTTGAAATCTTGCAAGCGGAGTCAGCTTTTGGGTTGATTTAGCATTCTGCCAAGGTTATAGGATTGATTTCGGGGAGATGCTGCTGTGACTCAAGCAGGGAATATGTCGGGTGTCTGTTGAAAAGGCTCCCTTCGTGTGCAGCAGCATGCAGTTTGTTTGTGAACAAAGTCATGCTTAACACCCAGTTTGGGGAGGAGGGTGTCCGCATGGCAAACTAAAAATGTAATTTGACAACCGTCAGAGGGATTATCCAGCCCTGTCAGGGGATCAGAGCTTAACGAAAGACGCACGCCAGCGTCCTTGTGGCTCTGGAGAGGGAATGTGGTCAGCTTCATGAACATCCTCTTCCTTCCATACCACTGTACTAGAAAAGTGTTGGATGTGAGATTTGAGCTCAGTCAAAAGATGTGCTGACAGTTTGTGCAGTGGAATGACAGCCTCCCTGTTTTGCCACATGTTTTCTTTTAAATGTTAAAAGCAGTTTTCAAAACATCACTTATGTGAACTCAGCAACCTGGCCACGGGTGAAAACTTAATTGTGCCCCTAATTAGACACGTTTAGTGCTAAAAGATTGCAAAAAGCAAGAAGAACCCTGAAAGACAGAACAAGTCAGAAACAAATGTGCAAATAACTTATTATTAGCACTAATTAAGAAAACATTAAACAATGTTCAACTCCAAATGTTTGTATTTGTTGAAGGTGTAACACCACCTGCAGTTCTGTCTGCGGGGCGGAAGAAACAGAACCATTACACTGAAATGTGGCCATTAAACTAAAACAAGTCAATCAACTGACCTTGTTAGCTTTTTTGGTCACACGTCTCAAAGCACAATTGGTTGTAAAACAGCTTGTGGAAATTGGTGAAGGCTCCACTGTTCACATTCTTAATTCATTTGTTCACTTAGTCAGTCAGTAAATGAGCCACTCAGTCTTCTCTAGCTCAACTTGGACACGGACACCTCCTGAATTTTTATATGGTAATTAATTGCTTTCTTCATAAAAGATGATATCTGCTTTTCAGTTTCAGTTCCACTTTATAATCATTAAATTAATTAATGTAAAATCTTCAATCAAGATGCATGAGAAAGAAACTTGTTCTCAAGAGGTTATTAACTTCGACGGAGATATAGAAATTTTATATTATCTTTGCTCTGTTCACTTCTTTTTTGCTTGTCAAATAATATCTGCCTCATCAAAGCTAGCTTGGAGTGACAGACACTGCAGTTGTCTGTCATAGCGATACTATTTCAATCACAAAAGGTGAAGGTGTTAGCATTAAATTTGACCTTTCTAGATCTCAGCTGCTTTAAATACTGCTTTCTGTTGTGCTGCTGGATCTCAGTCACGATGAAAGTTGTCTGCTCAAGGACAACACTTTGTTATAAGTTTTGTCTCTTAACACTGCGCGCACTCAGCACCTGGGAACGTTTCACACCTGAATAATAAAACTTAAGTGCTTACATAAAGTCAATGAAGCAACATCCATCAATTGTCTGTACCCACTTATCCTTACAGGGACACAGAGTGCTTATCTCCTGCTCTCATTGGGCGAGAGGCGGGATACAACTTGGACAGTTTGCAAGTTCATCGCTGGCAAAACAACATAAGATTATCAATAGAGTAAATATAGGTGGTGCCATTATTTGTAGAATTTTGCAGATTTACATGATTTTATCCCAGATGATGCCTTTCTCTTTGAGCATAATAAATAGAAACAGAAGGTTTTTGTTGTTGGTTTTCTTAGATGCTTAAAGATCTCAGGGAACTTCTATTTGAATTTTATATGAACTCATTTTTAATGATGATGAGCTGCCCAGGACATGCTGCCATAATGCATAACCTTGATATTTCTGCTGCATACAGCATTGATGCTGTATATGGCTTGTGCATGTATGTAAAGTAGGCATGTATCCCTTAAGTGCAGTCTTGTCGACTAAACTGAAAGGAAGACAGCAACAAATAGAGGAAGGGCCACGAGGGCCATGGTAACTCTGGAGAAGCAGCAGAAAACCATAACTCTCTAGGAAAAAAAGCTTTTTTTATTTTTTATTTTATTATTATTTTGTTTGTGATATTTTGGGGGAAAACTGCTGATCTCTTTACTCTGGAGTTTTTTCCATTTCTTATTCTCTTTCCTCTGTCTTCCAGCTCTGTTTACGGAGGTTCCTCATGACGTTACGACACAGATCGGTGAAGACGTGGAGATGGCTTGCTCCTTCCACGGGGCAGGCTCGCCCTCATTCTCCCTGGAGATCCAGTGGTGGTACATCAGGAACCACAAAGACTCACAAGAGTCGGCCTCACAAATCTCCAACACAGTAAGCTAAATGGCATTAATCGTCTTCCTTCCTTCTTTGTCTAGACAAAGAATCTATGAAAAGCAGAAATGTGAATTTTAAAGTTGAAATACTATCGACGGGTAATTCACAGATGCCAGAAGCTACTTTCTCATTGTGATTCATGGTTGAATTGAATAGGTTTTCAAAGTTTCTTGAAAGTCCTCATTGAGGGGCATTATCAAATTCAATACTGTGAGCTGAGTTATCACTAACGGGTACTAATGGGCCTAAGGTTGTAAAAAAATGTCATCTTGGACCCCTTTGAATCTCAGTAAACGAGCCTCTCTAAACGCCTCTTACCTTCTTGAGCTGTTGCTACTCCAGCTGAATACAAACTATCTCCAAGAGAGAAAACGCTTCGAGGACTGCTAGAGCTGAGCTTAAAACTGACTGTGTATCAGTCAAAGTTAAATGTAAAATGAGCCATGGCAGACAGCTCCTGGCATAAAAACGAAGGTATAATTGCTGATTAGGATTTGCCAGTGCTAGGGAAACAGGTTGACTTCCTCCCACTGGGTGGTAGTGGTGGTGGTGGGGTTGTGGGGACTCAGGCTCCCCTGTTGAGCCTCTGGACACCATAATTGGCTCTGAGAAAGAAATAGATTTTCAAAATCTCCCTTTTCTCCATGCATAATTCATAGCCATGCCCAAAAGAATACCTCTGTGCAGCTGCATACATAATCAGAGGTTTTCCTAGTCGGAAGCTTATGTGCTCGGGGTACATGTAAGCATGCATATTTGTGAGTCTGGACTATATAAGATGTGAAGTCAGTAACAGAGAAGGGATATGAAGAACATCATCAGACATGTTTGCTTGACGTTGCTTGCAAAGGAGATGTTTTTAAATTTCCTAAGCTGCTTTCTGTCTCTGTGCAGGTTGGGACTCTCGAGGAAATGCCGAAAGATGCCACCAAAATCAGTGTAAGCAGGATTTGTATGCACAAAAACCCAATTTTTGTAAAAATGATTCAAACCCACTAAGCCTTTTTTAGATTGTCATATTGCAGCCACAAACATCAAACAAAACTTCAAGAGGAAAGAAAAGGTTTTTAATCTGAAATACTATAGTTTTTATATAAAAAAAGAATTTGAAGTGTGCTTTAATCTATGCTTAATAGAACGACTGTTCACTAGTGTTCCAGTAGAGTATTTCTCTATTACAGCTTTGCGCATAGAGAAAGCGTATTGCAATTCTTCTGTTAATATTCTCAAGTCCGTTTAAAATTGCAGACTGTCAACTTTCATTTTCAAGTCTGACCACATACTCGTATGATTTCTAACCTGTGAAAGCATTAAACTAATCTATTCTATTGTAGCGCATTTCCCCCCCCCTGAATATATAAAGAAAACTTGCATTCTGGTCTTGTATGACCAGAGCACCATCTTTCAAACTGCAAACAGGACCTGTTATAGTTTTCTTTCAACTATGGCTTTATTCTTGTATTTATTCTACAAAGGATTTGGCCAAGTTCAGACACTCACACCTGAACTGTGGATCTCCGCAGCTCCTCTGGAGTTGCTATGGACGTCTTGACTGCTTCTCTGATTACTGCTCTCCTTGTCTGGCCTTTTGGTTTAGGTGGACGGACATGTCTTGGTCGGTTTGTAGTTGTGCCACGTTCAAAATTTGGGGTGCAACTTTACTTGACTTTATGCTGTCATCATTAGTCTTCATGGCATTGTCTCTGAAGACCTCTGTCTATTAGTAGCTTGTTGATTTGATAATGTTTCTGTGGAAAGTGAGTCTAAGTTACTTTCAGAAAGGTCTCCTAGTCGCAGAAGCATAAATCTAAGATATTCCAAAGAATAAGCTGAAATATGTAATTTGCAGATTATTTTTAGAGACGAAAGGAAAAGATTCCTTGTGTCTTTTATAATAATATTTTATGTAATTTCCAGTAGTATTTAGTTTAAAACACACTACCTCTGTTGGCGACAGGTGGTAAAAGTGGCCGGCAGCAACATCTCCCACAAACTCCGTCTCTCTGGTGTGAAACCAGCAGACGAGGGCACCTACCAGTGCCACGTCATCGACCACAGCGGCCCCGTAGAGCAGTGCTACCGTGTCCAGGCCTACCTCCGAGTGGAGCCAGACAGGCTTCAGGAGTCTGATGACGCTCAGCTTCAGGAACTCAAACATTCCTCAAGGGGGAATCGCTTGCAGCAGAACAACGAGCGGGAACTGAGGAAGAGATCAGCTCACGCTGTTCCTGACTGCAGGGGGCGCTGTGTCCTTTAGAGTGGGAATTGTGTCCGTCTTCGTGTTCTTGGGTTTCCTCTGTTAAAACCACCAGTGTGTGTTGGTTGCCACACTAGTGGCTCTTTATTTCTTGAAGGATAGTCTGTGCTTAATGATTTGACTTTTTGCTTTATCTTGTTGCTTGGAAGCCAGTGTTGATGTTATTTAAAGAGTTTTGTGCACCAGTACATTTTTTTGTTCTTATTGTTCTTTTGTTATTTCTATGTGCTTTTTGCTTTAAAATTATGTGAACACTAACTGCAAGAAATGAATAAAGTTAACTTTTTTCTGTTATTTTATGATTAAAAAAATAGCAATGGAGAAATTATTAATGCAGTTGCAGGAAATAGAGTTGGAACCAGACATTACAAACCTTCTACAGAAAGACACATAACCACTTATTTCTGATAGTCGGACGTTAAATCAGAATAAATCTTTCTGATTTTAGGTCAGTTTATTCGCTAACTTCTTCAAAAGGAGGACAAGGATATTTCACTGATTCTTTTCAAAGTGTTTTTTTCCTTTTCAAACTATGTGACTTTAGTGTAATGTTGTTAGGTTATGTAATGACCAGATTTGATTTTTAACAATTATTCTAGTTGATTTCTTTTGATTTTATTTTGTGGTGACGCTTTAAAACCCCTCAACTGTCATGTTGATGCCTGTTGATACTCTGACTAACATGTAAGCGTTTTGAGAGTTCCTCAAATCTTGCATTTTTTGATAATTAGAAGTTTGCCAAAAGCTGCAATACGATCACCTGGGTTGATTGTTTAAATGTGTAGTGAATTTAGCGTATGCAAACTTCTGACTGTAGAGAAGATTTAAAAAAAAAAATCTCATTATTCTCACATTTAGCAAACAGGAATAGGTTTTGTAGTCCTAACTGACTAGACTATATAGTCTGATTTAATGTCAGTGAAAGAAAATGGTTGTGCCTTTTTATATAGTGGATGTGTAAATGCCTGATTCAAATAATTATTTTTGAGTTTTTACTTTTAACTTTGGTTGTCCTTGACTGAAACACAACAGGATTATCAGTGTTATTGTAAAAATGCTTTAAAAAAGAAAGTATATTTATGAGTCGCAGTCAATTTAGAGTAAACAGTATATCGTTTGACTTTTAAACCATATATATGTTGTCTAATCACATCAGGTTTTTAAAATCTGTTTTCACGTATCAAGCTGACCACAAACACTTTACTGTTAGTGATGTTATATTCACAGTATCAATTTGTGTCTCCACTTTAACAGAGCATGTCATTTTATGCTCGACTTGAATTGTGTTATTTGTGCTGCTATTTTTTCTGTAAATACATTATTCAAAAATATTATTTCATCTCCTAGTTTGGTGATCTTGCTTGGTTCCTGATTAATTAAATGTTAAATAAGAAATTACAGGCCTAAAGATAGCTAGCTAGCATTTTTATGTCCTTGACTCAACAACCAAATCGCATCTATTGTTGAGGGCTACAGACAGAAGCTACGGCAACATAATAGTGTCAGAAATCTTGAATGTAAATAAATTGCTCAATTAGTGGCTAATAAAGGCACCCTCTTTTATCTGCTTTGGATTGTGTGGGTTTTACTTTACTAATATTTACCTGCATAAACTTTATTGCACAAATTGCATGACAGAAACTAAATGGAAAAATGTTCCAGATTGTCCTTTGCTGCCAAGTCCTGACTGACAGGAGCAACCTCTCCATGCTACTTTTCAACATTGAGTTCATCTTTTTAACCAGCAGAGAGCAGCACTGTTTCAGAAATACACATATTTAACAAAGCACCAGGCAATACAGCAATTCTGCTGCAGATGTACTGTTGGAAATAGCAAAAATATTATGGAGCGCTGATATAACATTATTTTAACTCACTCTTTAGGGTATATGTTCAAAGGAAACCAGTGTTCACTGAGAAGTGCTGATGATTACCGATACTCGAGGTTTGATTTGAGGGTACTTAGTGGAAAAACACCAGTTTTTAATGGCATTCCTTTCTTTAATACCAACCTCAGTGAGGCTCATCTTTCGTTACTGAATAGTTTCTAGTTTGTTTCAACTGTCTCGATTTAAATTGTAGAATAAGAAATGACTTTTCACAGTCCATGAAAACAGCTGAACAGTCCTTTAATTAAGTGCTGACCAGAAATCTACCTTAGTGTCACTGGTCAACCAGTGTGTAGATGTAATATCTTGTAGAAAAATGGTTTGCTGCACAAACTTTTTATGACTGAGTCAATTCCCAAAGCAAAGAGCCATATTCCCAATATTTTACAAAAAGCACTTTATTCGAGATTGTACATTGACAGTATTCTTCTACAGAGTACTAAATTATAATGTCTTCATAATTCTGGCATTGTGAACTGTCGATAAAAAACGAAAATGGCAATAAAGGGAGTCTTTTAGCAGAAAATGTCAAAGAGCAGGACATTATGTTTTTTACATGAAAGAAGTAAAATTTACTATTGGAATTGGAAAGCCACATAAAATTAATTGGGAGTGTCACTATCACTGCCTTATGTGAGACTGAAGGCAGAGAAACTTGGAAGAGCATCTTCCTCTGAAATGAAAGTCACACATCGTCCGTCCTGTTAGCATCTGAAGCGATGCTAAAAATACAAATAGTTTGAAATACATGCCTTGAGTAACAAAGTTCTCTGCTAACATATAGTATTTTTTGTCACAACAGGAAGCTTAAATGAATGACATACACAAGAGAAGAGATAAAAAAAATATATGAGGAAAAAAAAGCTGTTTTAGTCAGTAGAAATAAAAGAGTACATTTGCTTGGAAAAGCATGGAAAAACAGATGCAATATGTTTCTACCTTCAGGTCTATGTAATACTTTATTTTCCAATAATGACATTCCTGTAGCCCTTGACATGACACAACTTGTTGCTATCGAAGTCGACGACCAGTTTTCTCAAGCCAGAATGGGTCGGAGTGAAGTAGATTTTAACTTTGGCTTCCTCCCCTGGTCCCACCGTGCAGCCCAACCTGGAAGGTAAATATTTAAGTATTACTTGTCTGAAAGCTGCTTGAAGGCTTTGTCCAGATATTCAGATTGCATAAACATTTCACAGATAAATCACCACAGACACAGAACTCTTGCTTATGACAATCTCTGGAGGTAATGCAGCCAGAGCAACAGTGTTTAAAACTGCTCTACACAGCAGTCAAAATACAAGGATTCCTTTTAATCTCCTGCCTACATAAAATTATGTGTAAACAGGAGCTCATTTTAGGTGCAGCTGGAAATCTACCAACCTCTCGGAGATGATGCTTCCTCCAGTGAGGTTGGCCCCCTCAATGCTGAAGCAGCAGTTGTCCAGCGGCTCTGGCAGAGGGTTCTGGAGGCTGATCTCTGCAGCCAGCTTCCGGTTCTCCTTTGGTTCACCCAGGATCTGTGGGGAGCAAACACATTAGCTTGATTAAAGTCCTGCAACATTGCAGCTAAGAACTTCTGTGTATTTGATTTTATGTGGTAAACCAACACAAAGTAGAAAGTAAGTGTGAAGAGGTTTTAATCATCTTAAATTGAGATGCTCATTTGAATTCAACTTGCTTTACTTTGTGATCCACGACTCAAAATCCACTCCAACCAGCCAGTCACCTTCTGACCCAGTCAAAGGTCACCTAAACTGAATCGAGAATTTGTAGCAAGCCTTTTCAAGGCATGCCAGACTTCAAATTCAAATTCAAATTTTTGAGTTAAAGTTTAGAAATATGTATCTTCCTACATCACCTCCCCAATTAATCAATGTTTTCTGTTGATTTTTACATAAAATCTAATTAAATAAATATAGATTCACGCTGACTGTGATGTCCAACGCTGCTTCATAACATTGTATGACTGATAGAAAGCTGTAGTACATTGGTATACACGGATTATCAGAGTGAAATCTATGAGTTGAGGTATGTTTACAAGCTATACAGAGCAGCCTTCAAATTGTTTATCTGCAGAAGGTGACCTAAAAAAGAAAATGGAGACAAGAAGCACCAAAGAAGGGAAGGACTGCTTTACAGCTGTTACATTGCAGCTGTTTGAGAAGTCAGAAGGACTAAAGATAAATCTGAATTCCTCCATGGAGTAACTCTCTGCTTGTGTCTGAAGTTTCTGTGGTCTCTGTGTGTGTTATGTGTCTCTGAGCGTGACACTCCTGGGCAGTCGATCTGCATACCTGATATTTACAGCATATTTACTCTGGCTTCTTACATGGTCTTTGCCACGTCAAACTTCTACCAGCACAGAGCTGCGTATTCACCTTTCAACTCTTAAATGTGGATTTGGAAGCTTATCTTTGCAATTTAAATCTGACTGATTTGATCAATTCTGCACAACCCTACAACTATTGCTTCTGGATAACCGAACTTGACCTCTTTACCTACTATGTAGCTCCACTACTAAACGCACTCAACAACAACACCTTTTGATTGCCCTCAAAACGGTTCTGGTCCACTTCACCTTAAAGTCTGCACTGTTGATCTGTTAAAATCACCTGATTGTTAAATATCTTTTTTAAATACCTTATCAACACTGCTTTGCAAAAAGATTGTTACAGTGAGTGAAGTTTTCTACAATTTTTGTGTTACAGCAACAAATTTCAGTTCACTGTATTTGAATGTTGACTGATGGCTCTACACAGAAGTAGCACAAAACTAAAGAGTGGAAATGGTAGAAGAAAATGGATGTGCATTTGCAAAAGAAAAAAAAATCAGAAAAGTGTTGCATGCTTTTATATTCAGCCCCCTTCCCGGTGACACCCCTTAATAAAGTCCAGTGTACTCAAATGCATTGAGATTTAGGATAATTAGTCAACTGAGTCCACCTATGTGTTATTTTATCTCAGTACAAATCCAGATGTTCTGTGAATGTTTATTGTTAAATATTAGTGAAACATTATTGAAAAAGAAAATGTTACGAAGATGAAGAAAATGTAAGAATATCCAAAGCTTTTAATATCTCACATCTATTAATAGAATAGAATGGAGAATATTGTCATCTATAAAATCTAAGTTGAAAAAAACAAGGGCACATCTGCAAAACACGGATATGCACCTACACTAACAGAAACAGGCCAGAGGTAACTCTGGAGGAGCTGCAGAAATGCACAAGAATCGAAACCAAATCTTTACAATAATTGGCACACAGAATAACCTCAAAAGGATTTTGACATATTGGTGACGCAGCACTCCTCAAAGTGCACAAAAAAGTTGGAACTGTACTCACTCTGACTTTGATTTCAGGATTGTCCAGTACTATGTTTCTCATCACCAGTTTGGCCTCTCCTGTGGAGTAGTTGTGCAGTAGAGCTGCCAGGCGAATTAAGTTGTCCTCTGTGACTTGGTCCCCGTACTTTGAGTAATTCAGCCTTAGTGGAACTCGCCTCTCTGGAATGTCACACACAAAACATTTTTTCGCAGAATTAGAACAAGCATCATTTCAGAGATGCCCTGGTCCGGATGGTGGCGTGACTCACCTGCACCTGGTGGGAGCTGAACATTGAGCAGGTCTTTGAAACCACAATTCCCCCCCAAAAATCCATTGTAGGACACAGCGCAGGACCCAAACACCAGGCGACACTTCTTCTCTTCTTCGGTGTTGTTAGTGACAACAGCAAACACGTCAAAGTCGCAGCCCTTTCTCATGTCAGGTGTAACTTTGATGGTAACGTGAAGACCCGGGTCTGGGTTCTCTTGGAGAAGCTTGTTTAGGTGATTGGCTTTCTTGAATGCTTCACGCTCTTCATCAGATCCTGGGAATGTGGAAGCACAATGCACTGACTCACAGGAACTTAGGTGATCAAAAAGAAAAATTAAAATATTCAAAATACTATTTGTTGTTTTGTCTTTTATACACGAGTTGATGAGGAATTTATGGAATAACAGAAAGCTTCAACAGCAATTGATTCAACGGTTTCCAGCAGGCGAACACATTTAGAAAAATTAAAAATATGCATGCAACAGATGACAAACTACACTTCATATACTCCAAGGAAAACTAATCCAAAAATAACTTACACAATAGAACGTGAAATTTTCTAATTACATTTATTCAACAGAAGTTAAGCATTTAAATTTGCCAAATGCTTGCACATATTGTAAAGATACAGTTGTATTCTTCATGACCCAACCGGTCTCTCAAAACACAATGCAAGAAGTTGGTTCAATTTTTCTTATTCAACTTTGTCACTGAGCTGTGCGTGCATATGTTTATAGATGGCCCTCTCTAAAGAACAGGCCGATACTTTCAGCTGGGTGAGGTTTGAACATCCGCCTTCTCGATGACTTGATTTGTTTTTCTTTTTGCACCACTGGAGTGGACATTTGTGCCTTGGCTCGGGTCAATCGTTTTGTTCCAGGCTTTGGTTTCTGATAACATCCAGCTGTCGGGCAGATAACCTCACATTTCCTGCATAGATGAGTTCATACTTAACAATAAGCCCCAACTTATATAAATGCACTATGTGCACTGATAGATGGTATGAGGCATTTGTGGACACATGCAGGTTTTTTTGTATAAATATGTAGAAATGTGGGGACTGTGGGAAGCTAATGATG